TTCTGCGGTCCCTCCCCCGGTCCGGTATTCCCACCCCGAATTTTGGTGCGTCGCCCTCCGAGCCCATCCCCCCCGAGCATCCCCAGCACACCACGGCCCTTGCAGACGCCCATACCTCCGAGCCGCATGTGGCAGATGACCAAGTAGATTTTGGAACATTATTTGATTAGTTTTTTATTTTTATAATTACTTTTAAAATATTTTTCTTGCATACATTTATTTTGTTTTATATAATAAATTTTTTCTTTACGATTAATCTTTTTATTGCAATTTCATTTTAATTATAAAAAAAAACCAAATTTATTTTTTTACAAAATTAAAAAACAAATAATAATAATTTTTTTAATAATATATATTACTTTTGCGCGACGAAACGTAAATCGTCGCGCAAAATCATTTAAAAAAACCCGTTAACAAATATATTTTAATCATGCGTGACGAAGAGTTTCGTTGCGCGAAATGTGTATGCGTGACGAATTGTTTCGTCGCGCGAAATTTGTATGCGCGACGAATCATCTTGTCGCACGAAATTTATATGCGCGACGATTCGTCGTGCAAAGACTAATTGCGCGACGAATACTTTTTTGTCGCGCAAAGTTCATGTATCTCGCGCGGCGGAAGCCTCCGTCGCGCATTGTTTTTGCGACGACCAACCATTCGTCGCGCAAATATTTGTGTGACTGACATTAGGGTCGTCCCGAAATGTTTTTTTTAACGAAGTTGTAATACGTCGCACTGTTTTGCGCGACGAAAGATATTTATGCGTCGCGCAAAACCTTTCTTCACGAACTTTGCGCGACGGATTGTGCGCTACGAAACTTCTGTCGTGCATAATTATGTGCGACTAAAATCATCTTTACGCGACGAAGATTACTTCGTCGCGCAAACCCTAAAATGTTGTAGTGAGTGGTAATATACTTCAAAGCTATATATAAAAAGGGTAATGCTAGGGTATAGAGAGATCCAGATAGGCTCATGTTTTATATAGCATTACCCTCTTTGTATTGGAGCCAATTCTTGATTGGATCCAATAACCTTGATGAGATGAGAGACCATCATAGAAACATTAAACTTAGAAAATTACACAAATACTAAAACTGAAAACCTTATTGCAAATTGATCCTAATCAAACATTACACTGCTTATATCGCATGCCATTGACTGATGTCCCTTCGTTATTATTTTCAAATTCCCAGTGTCATTAATATGATTATTATCAGAGGAAACGCGAACTTGGATCCGGTCGCAAAAGTAGCTCGCAAATCTGGGCAAGGGAGTTTTCTGGTCGCTCATCAACTGAGCCCTATACCTAGACCAAACCGAAAGCTTAAGCCCGAACCTGAGCGACAAAGTTGTGGTGTTGCCATCCGAGATTTCTTTCACCACGTCATTGGCCACGTACGCGCTGAGCATGGGGAGTTTGAAACTGATACCTCTTTGGTTCCTCGTGGATAAAGCGAAGGGGACCAAGGACATCGCTGCGAGCACCACGAGTTCCTTCTCCTTCTCCTTGTGCCGCTGCGGCCGCTCCCTAATATGTTGGTAGCCGCTGGGTCTGTAGCAAGGCCTGGAGGCTGTCGCAGTGGATGTCCCACTTGTGGTTGGGATTTTTGGCAAGTAGCGTCAGATCCCAAGTTGCGGTTAATTCGGAGGAGGAGCCAGTCGCATTAATGTGTGGGTACTGTAGGGCAGCTGAGTGGACTCGGAACTCGGGGTTAAACCCGTCCGGTGGCCCCAAGATGATCAAGATTCCGAGTGGTATTATCCACGTTAGGGAAAAGAACATGCATACCTTCCATTCGCCCCAAGGATCAAAATCTTGGCGTCTCCTTGGATTATTCGTTCGGCTTGGGAGTCTCCGGTGATCTGGTTGTCTTCTTCGGCTCCTCTGGTAGTAGTTGCTACGCATTGCTTGATTAATTGTTAATGATTTGAGAGAGATCCACATTCAATATTCAAAGGGCTAATTAATTAATTGTTAATGATTTGGTTGACTCAAAAGATGAGAGAGAGTAAGACGGAAAAGCCGCACATATATGATATAACCGAAACCTCCTGCACCTGAAATGATCAACCCTTATAATACTAACCAAATTGTTTACTCAAAATTCAACTTGTCACAAGGGCACGAAAGTCAACGTACGTGCTTTTATTTGTTTTTATTTTCTTTATTCATGGAGATTTTCTAAAATATTATTTACATTTAAATAAATTCTATTTTACGTATTTGTTCCTTTAAGTAGTGTTGTGTTTTGAAAACTTGCCTTGAATGACGACAATTCTGTGAACTTTCGAAATTCCAAACATTCTATAAATTCTTCAACACCTACCAAACTCTCAAATCTGTTTTCTGTCTGTTTTATTAAGGCAAATTAATACTTTTTCTGTTTCCATTTTGTCCATCTTATTTGGCTTTAATTTCACTTTTAGTTCCTGTATTCAAAAAGAGTGCTGCTATTTCCACCTATCTGTCCTATTTCCCCACCCACCTTATCTTCCCACCCACCATGAAAATTTGAAAAACCACAATCCTATTTTTGCACTCACCATTATTCCTAAAATACCCTTCCATTCACTTAACACTTTTAACCCTAACTTAACACTATTGATTGAGTCCGAAAAAATTAAAAAAGGTTTTCAGCAGCCACCCACCGCACACTCCATCAAACCTTAACAAGAACCACCCATAACTTCCACGTTGGGCCAAGCCTCCCCTCCTCCGTCCTCCTCCTCATGTCTATTTCACCATTATTTCAGTTGTATTGAACAACACCTTCAAACCCCAATCTAACATTCTTCTCCTCTCTCCATTTCAATCAACCCACAAGAAATATTACATCAATTGGCCCAGATCTGAGACGACACTTCGACTGCATTGCCTGCCAAAGTCGCTCATCCTAGTCTTCATCAATATCAGCAACTTCATGGCCCTTTATTCCTCCAAGTTTCCAATTTGAGATAAATAGAACATTCCAATCTTTATTCTTTCCTTCCTAACTATTTCCTAGACATGCCCAGTTTGAGGTTATAGGTGGCAATTGATGATGTGGCTGGCGGTGAGGTGAGGAGGGGAGGTTGGTTTGGTTGTCACGGGGTTGGGTGGGTAGTTTGAGGGTTGCTTGCTAGGCTCTTTTATTTATTTATTCTAATTTTCTGTTTTTATTTTTACTTTTATTTTATTGACTTAACAGTATTAACTTAGAGTTAAGTCCTTAAAAGTCATTTTACAATAGGGTAAATTTGCTTTTAAAATTTTAAAGATAAGGTGGGTGGAAAAATAGGATAAGGGGGTGAGAATAACATCACTCATTCAAAAATCCTAAACACTCTCTAAGAAAACTCTTAAGGAAAAAAGTCTTAGCAACCGTCCCCTTTGGGGGTTAGCAGTAGTGTTTTTAGGGATATTCAAATCCAAAATTGGTCCAGTATGTGGTACGAATGACAATGGAGAATTCTTATTAGCATTTCCATGACCACTAGATTGGCCTTGCAACAGAATTAGACTCTCGATAGATGTTGCAATAGCTTGCAGACTAGTATTTTCCCTTCTTAGACTATTGGACTTTTGCTCAAGGGCATAAACAAAAAAATTTCAACGGGTGGGCTAACTAAATTTATTAGCTTAAAATTTAATGATTATTTTTTTTGGTACTTACAATTTCTATAGTCTTTCTAGAAATAAAGTAAACATTAAATTATATAAACCACACCAGTTCATAGCTCTATAAATTAATTTTCAATAAGTTTTAACATAAACCAAACTGAATTTAACAACGTAGTGGATTGAACATCTTTCATATCATACATGAAAAATTGTTTTATGTAAAAATATTGACTAATATAAAAAATGATTTTTCGGAATAATTATTTTCTCAAGATACACATCAAACAAGAAAACTTGATGTTATGGGATTTTAGTATGATGTATATATTGACTTAATGAGCCATCATTTTTAGCCCAAATCGTATTTTGCACTAAAACCTATTTTTCATATTTTGATTTGTGGGAATTTGATTTTCTAGTATTTTTATTTGAATCCAAATG